GAGAGAGAGAGAGAGAGAGATCGTATTCTCTATTTTATTTAAAAAAATGAAGTATTAAATAGAAAATATTAAATTTATTGTTCTATAAAAATTGTCATTATTTACAGCTTTAAATTGCAAAATTTATCTATATTTATTTATATACTAATTAATATTAGATCCTATACAAATTAATGTAAATTTTGCAAAATAAATACTATGCAAAATAAATACTATGCAATACGAGTTTTTTATTTTTTCCGATTACCATAACCTATTGTGTATTATAAATAAAAAAAATATGCGGATTGTGCTCCGCATATCTTAAACATGATAGGTTATCAATCATTTCAGTCACGTGTTTTAAATAATCTTACCAAGTAACGCTACCAGTCATTTTCCTCACGTATCTTGAATATTGTGGAGAGATCAATAATTTCTCTCACGTATTTTCAAATTTCGCCAAACAGACCCACCCCTTTCTAATTTCACAGACACGTGTTCTAAATGGTTTTGCCCCTGACTGCGAACCTCGACAATGTTCCTCGCAGGATCTGAGCGTAATAATTCGGTAATTACGAGGAAGTTCAAAGAATACGCAAGGAGTGGAAACGTGAGAGGCGCATTCGTGAAAATTACGCTCGGTCGCTCCCATATTTTGTGGAGGACCCCTCCGTAGACATCCCGCCGCGTGCGTCCTTGCATACGCGAGAAAGGATTTCGTCCTGTCATAATGAGAATTTTATGACCGACCCGTTTTCCCGCGTAACACGTCCAGTCGAGCGCATATGTTTTACATGACAGCTAAATCATAGCGATGGAAAGGGACGCTAGAGAGGGAATTCATTCCCAGACGTAGCGAAAGTCTTTGCAAACTTTTCGAGTAACTTTTCGAGTTGGTGATCGTCGAAGTTCCGATGGTATGTCGTCTTTCCGCACGAGCGATTGACCAGTTCCGATGGGACGAGCGAACTTTCCGAAAACAAGCCTCTTTCTTGGATTCTTGGATTAATGAAAATTTATCTCGTACCTATAACATTATCTTAAAGGAAATTTATTATTAATCAGGTGATGATCGGTGAGTTAACAAAAATAAATTGTTGTAAATTATAACGACGTATGCTTGATGTGCTGAATGTTACATTTCATTTTACAGAATAACATAGGCGCATGCATACATTATTTACTTCCAAATATTTTTAATAATTTGTTTTATAAAATATTTTGAAAGTATCATATTTTAATATATTAATTATGTTTTTAACATTTAAGCATATTCCATTGTTACAATAATACAAATTTATTTAGTTGTTTTTGGCATATAACAAACTCGAATTTTTTTTGTTTTCAATTTTCGATTCTCATCCTTTGTTTTTGTTTTCGTAAAAAAATTGCCGATTGCAATTGGTATATTTATAAGGAACTAATAAATAATTTTAATTATTACAGTAAAATAATGATTAGAAAATTAGGATACACAATCAAAGCATTAACAAAAAATTTTTTTTAATTTTCATCAACAGTATATTGATCTTTTTTCCTAATTATTATGGAATTCTCTCTAGGAAGATCTTGAGACTGATAAGAGATATCTTTTCTTGAGAATATCATACGTAAGACCGTAGTAAATTTGGAAGAATTAACTGTGCAACTTTTTGCGAGAAAAACTTCTTCACAAAAGCAATTGCTATATTTCCCCCGTTCTTTGTCGGAATATAATTGCGATTCAGCAAGAAAAGTTGTCTCCTCCTACTTTCCTGAGATATTATTAAAAGCGTCATCAAGTATCTTTTTTACATAGCCAAAAACGCATTTATATTCTAAAGCGCTATTTCTCAGAGTACTTTCAAATCGAATCTCTCAGCTGCTACCACTCGCTCGCGCCTCCAATATTCATTCAGCCGTCCTCTTGAAATGCGCATGTTTAAGACAGCCGGCGATCCAATTATTTCGATCGTCTGTCACCGCGCGATCCACTCGAGGCGAGAAGCGAAAAAGGAGGAGACAAGTAATCGTTGACAGCTTCCTTTCGCGCGCGCCGACTCAGCGCAATATTTCGCACTGTCGAGGCATATCGACATTTCGAGCACCGTTCGTAAGTGGCCGTCATTAGAGTGTATAAAAGCCGATATGATAATCTGTCTTCCATTGGGAATAGACACGAACGCTCTCACAGAGTTTTCAGACTTCCCGGAGAAATTATTGTCATCCACAAGTAACTGCCGCGTTTGCTTCGACAATTTTTTTTCTCGTCTCACGTCTCTCATAGCCTTACGAGTGATGCAACCAATTATCTCGATTTGTAGATCAAGATTTGTGAGACGTCGATGATACTTAGTTCCTTATTTATCTTAATTGCTAGTGTTATCGCCATTTTTATCTTTTTATTACGCTATTATTATTATTTCTTGAACTTTTCAAAATTAAATTGTCCAAATCGTGAAAAATATCTATTATTCTTCTGCGTTTTATTATGAGTATGCACGAAATATCGCAAAAAATATATCTTAACGTTTGAAAACCGGAATAATACCGTGCTGTTAAGTCCAAAACCACGATGCGGATCGCAGTGGGAAATTGCGCACATTTCCGCAAATCTCGCCTTGTTCTTCAGAAACGCAATCTTCCTTGGTACCCTTTAAACATGACATACGTTATGAGTAATGCCAATTCCCTAGTTAGTAAATATGTAAATAATGTGTGAGTTCTCTCACACATTGTAGAATCGTAAATGACATTTCGCTTCATTTGTCGGGCGCCCATCTCGTTTCCACTTTGATGGACACACTGTTCTGTTATAACATCTTAAAACACAACTCGCGATAATGTATACGCGCTTTATGACTTCTCACCATGTTAATTTTAATAAAAGATAACGCTTTCTCTCTTCCTCTCTTTTACATCCCTCCCCCCCTTTCTTTCTCTCTCGTACTGTCCGTGAAATTGTGAAGAGCAGTAGAAACGCTCAAAATGCTATTTTAATTAAAACCGCCGTTGTTTCAAACGACTCTCGTGAAAGGCCGGTTCTTGGTGTTCATAATTTGAGCTGTAACGAGTCACGCCACAAACCGCGAGAAATATTCCACTTATTATTTTCAATTCAAGCTGTCACGCTATAAAATTTAACTACCTCTTTAAACTACCTTTTGCTATCACACTACATTAAATTTCCAATTTATCATATTTTTACAATTATTTTTTATAAATAAATTGCATGCTTGACAAGTTTAGCAAATTATAATTATTCGTTATTAATTTGAGAAGAGCGGCGATTAAAGGAAATATTACGACAATATCACGATAAGTTTCAATAAGATACTTAATATTTGTAAAGTAGGTCATCATATGTCGGATTTGTATTATGCTGTTATGCAAATAATCTTCTTCTGTCATAGTATTGCGTTCTTCATGCACGACTTGATATTATAATGCAAAGATGCTATGCTCAGTTGTCGCAGTATTGGTGTATATAAGTGCCTAATTTCATGCTGTGTAGTGGTTATTCGCAGTGTTTCCTAAGATAGTAGTCCGATGTTGTCGGACTACTATCCCCCCCCCCGCCGGATGCAAAATCTGCTTACATGAGAATATTGGTCTTACCGCTGACACGGCTTCAATTAAACTCGGTTTCTTAGTCGCCTCTGGATTTAATTATTGCTAACACTTAAACGTACAGGAATGTATAATAAAGTATAGTTCTTCTTTATTATCGAAAATTTTTGCAAGCTCGTTTTTTTTTCATTCTTTATTGCTCTTTTCTTTTCTATTTAAAGGAAAATTTGTAATCAAATAACGCGTTAGTCTTTCCTTTACAATATGTAATTTTATTTTTATTAGAAGCGAATACAGATAAGATTTTGTCACCTGATATAAAATTCTTCAGCATGTTATTTGATACCGAATTGCTATCGAATATCATGTACATAGATTCTCATTGCTCGTGAGCAAATCCGTGCGCATCAATCAGCGGATCGTTTGCATCGGCGGAGTTTACCGTGAAAGATTATCCCGACTTCGACACTTGGTGTCTGAAGGAAACTGGCAGGCCGAAACGTTGCTGCTCGTCTCCGACACACGTCGGAATCTCAAGAGCCAAAGTTTCCGTCGGTAACTTCCAAGAGAACAGAACCTGTGTCTCTCCGGAAGACCTGCAAGTCAGATGCCTTGATTACTTAGGCACTGGAGGATATTGATTTCGACGGATAGCGCGATTCACGGGTTTCTGTGCCATTAAGCGACCGACCCGATAATTTCTGCGGAAATCGCAAAATAAACGATTTGTTCACGTTATCACCGATAATTGTGACCTTCGATTGTGCAAATTCACTTCAATTAATTTACTTATATTTTGTGTCATCCGATATGTGTGTTGAGATAATCTGACTCGATTTTCAGGATTGGTGAAATTTCGGGAGCTGGTGAGATCACCGAAAATCCGTGACATTGAAGTCAATCTGCGTCAGGCAGACCCGGACTCGTACAGACAAGTTCTTTCCGAAATGAAGAGCAAGGAAATTCGAAATCTCATCGTGGACACAAAACCTAAGCACATGCATCATTTTCTACGAATGGTAAATTATTTTACATATATTCTTTCACGCATTCATTCCTTTTATATATTTTTACATAAGTGCATGTATATTTTTATAATTTATTAAATCTGTGAATTATTATAACAATAAAAGTTTCTATTCTAAAAAATATGTATGTGGAAAAAGAGGGGAGAAAGGTTGCAAAGGTATGCGTGCGAATGCAGTTATATGTAATTATTATATTAATTAAAAGAAAATTTGATTAAGTAAATTATAAAAACAAGCAAAGCTGATTATTAAGAGATTATGCGGAAAGATGGATAAATTAGATAAATTGTCGTTGAGAAAGACATTCTCTAAATATAGTCTAAATATTCAAGAAATTGATACATAAAAGAAAATATTTGAAAAATAAAATCAATCAAATTTTCCATAAAATTTTCCATAAAAAGTTATGCATGTTCCGATTTGTATTTTATGAATATATTTTATTTGGTGAAAGCGTTTTCGGCTGACCGTATCACTTCGCATATATTGCAGATCCTGCAGCTGCAGATGAATGATTACAAGTACCACTACCTCTTCACGACTTTCGTAAGTACCCTAGGGATATTGAAACGCATAGTGAAAACCCACTTGGTCCGCGACTCGATTCGCTCGCTCGCTTTTCCGCAGGATATCGAAACCTTCGACCTCGAGGACTTCAAGTACAATTTTGTCAATATCACTGCCTTTCGTTTGGTCGACGCGGACGACGTCGGCGTACGTAGCATCCTGAGGGACATGGAACGCTATCAGCCAGCGGGAAACACGATCCTCAATAAATCAAGGATCATCCAGGTAAGCATACATGAGTTTTCTGTTTATAGAAACGTGCGTACTATGCGAGATATATTCGGAAAGATAATGCCTTGCTTGTCTCAATTTCACAATTAAAAATGTAAAAGTTTAGATGTGACAACTACGATTTGTCGAATATCTATTTTATGATATAACGCTTTTCTATTTTTGTATATGCGGCAACATCTTGTAATGCAAAAAGTACACATTGGGAAAAAAAATGAGGGAAAGAAAAGTAATACCTTATCAGAAAATTGACGTTTACTGAGTAATGCGAAAAAAAATCGCATTTTATGATTAGTTTTTCATGTCGTCTCCATAAAAGATAATAAGTATATACCGAGGTGCCATACTTTCATTTCGCAGTAATGTTTTATCGGCCATAATTTTGCGCGTGATGGCAGACAACATTGCGCTTTTAAAAGATTGGCAAGATCTCTAAGATGTAAAACAATTTATTGTCCTGTCGCATATACGTTTACCGCACCTACAGCTTCGATGTCTATGCGTTCAACATCACCGAAATGCTTTATGGAGCGATAAAATCAGCTAAAAGCTATTTGAAATAGCGTGTGTGGTGTTATCACGTCGTGTGCATCAGTAACAAGAGCCATATTGTCACTAAAATACAACTCTTTTTCGAAACAGCAGTAAGAAAATTGCGAAAAAAATAGAAAACCCTAACTTTTTCCTCATACATAATAACTATAAATGTCGAAATAAATCGTTTCGATTACGCGCAAGAAATAACAATCAAGCTAATTTTGTGTGGCATTATTTTAAAATTTTATTATTAGTAGTCCTTATTTGACTATATTAATAAAAAAACGCATATACGTAAGTGTGTCAGTATCCTATCATAAAATCTATATAAAATGCTCAAATATTGCGATATCGGAAAATGGAAATTCTGCGTTTGACTTTATTCTTTATGCACACATATTTCTCTATCAATTTGATATTTATATTAAATTATGATATATGATTTTCTCATAATGAAAAAGAAATTATATTTGCATTTAAATTGTATAACAAAAAATACACGTTCTATATCAAATTGCACAGTAATTGCACAGTAAATTCCATTAACAGAGCATATATTTAGATAACATATATACATTTATGTGTTTTATTAAACAAATCTTTCTTATAAACAAATTATAAACAAACATAAATAAATTATATTGCAAATTAATTTCTTAAAATTTACAAAATTTGCATATTATTGTAAATGCATATCGATGTAATGTATGAAATGAAAATTAATATTATTTCTATCTATTTTTAAAATAGTTTCTATTGAGATAGTAATCCATTTTGATATTATTTATTACGTACGAGAGTACAACAATGACTTTTTTCTTAATTTCTGTCACTTATAGTATCAGAATAATGAAAATTCAAAATCTACGTTCGAAAGAGGAAAGTCGAAGCAGGCGCAGTTCTTTCGTCTCTGATGATGTATAACAGAATTATTACACATCTGTTATGCATGTAAAAATCCGCGACCAACTGCAACGTGTTCACGACGCGTGAAGCTTAATACTTTTTTCCAATTTAGATGCAGATCAGAATGTCGTCGTCGCGACGACGACTTCGTGAAACTCCACCGTTACCGTGTCGCGACGACGACATTCCGTAATCGCGTTTCGTATCACGCACATGCGTGCACAAGCATAAATGCGCTGAATGGCGTGTCAATGAAGCACTGAAAGATACCTACATACCCACGGAGAAGTTGCACAGCGCATGTATTTAATTTTCAAGCTTCTGCAACTCATCAAGTTGAACATTCCTTAATCTTTACATATTAATTATTTTTGTTATTCGTTTAATTGTATTTTTGTATATTTTTTTTTTCAATTTTTTTAATACCAACTCTATCAGTAGATCGCTATTTTCAATTCTTAAGTCATTTCCTTTACTTTGAGAGATTCTTGTATCTTCAATTTCTTAAATCTTTGAATCATCGATTTCTTGAATTTTCACGCCTCGAGAGATTTAAAAGCTCTTGAATTTTTCTTAGTAGTTAAGATTCTTGGATACTTTCATCCAAGATTTAACACACAAAAACAAATACAATTTTTCTTTACAGTTCTCTACAGTTTTCCTATTATGTAATAATTTAATATAATAATATGTTAAAAGGTATTAAGTGTGAAAATAATAACTTTTATTTAGCTTATAAAATTCTGTTTAAAATATCAGCACTACGCGGTATTTTCTCGTTTAATATTTTATATTATACGAAATTATACGAATCGCGTGCAATTGATACATACGTCTTTCTATTTATTTTGTTTGCACTTTTTCGTGATTGTTCCAATACAAATAATCTGTTCTTGCATTGAAACTCGAATAAATAAATCGATTTTCCAGACGCGTGATCTCGCAACGAATTTCCACAAACATGTAGATGATTCACATCACTGAACTGAACGAACGTGTTCGTTCGGTTCTTTCTCTACAAACGATCACTTCTCTTCAATTTTCAAGCAAAATATCCGATATTTATAATATGTGAAAGAAACGTTTTACGAGAACTGTTTGCGTCTCTTCGAAATTGCCTCTGATAATTCAAATAAGATGGCATTTTTCTGGAAATTTCTACATTATGCCTCTTCAGCGGTTTTTACAGTTATTATTATTTTTCACACCCTTGAATCTCGTTCGCCCAGGGTATTTCAAGAACACCGAAGGATTATTTGCATGTATAACAAAACCGAGGGGATGCTCCAACGGATCTGAAAAAAAAGTACGATCTTTTGTCCGAACGACTATCTAGAAGAATAAAGTTAACATTTCCTTGGAAATGTATATTTGCCGTTTTCGAGAAATATGCATTCCCAAGGAATATCTTTCTTATATCTATTTCAGACCATGATGGAAAGGATAAAAGAAAACGATCTTTTATTCAGTGAGCATCTTACATTGCTTTCAAAATTATATGAACGTGGTATTATATGAATATGGTATTTTTCATCATATTACCTAAATTGATGTTAATTGATGATTAATTGATGTTCTGTATATAAAAACGATATATTACGTACAAAACGATATATTTTTGAAAAATTAAAAATTAAGAATTTGGAAAAATTAAAAATTAAAATTTTTTTAAATAATATTTATAAGTAATATCTATAAAATGTATTCACAGATTTATTTGGAAAACAGATGAAAGCTATCAAATCTCAAACAAATCTCTCGATATTCCATTTTTGAGATAATCAAAACTCTCCTCCATTCGTCGCATCTCAGCGGCAAGAGCGAATTGTAAATAGACAATCTGAAATTCCAGATGCGATTTGTTTTAAAATAGTATTTATAAATAATATTTACAAAATGTATTCACAGATTTATTTCGAAAACAGATGAAAGCTATACAAATCCCTCGATGTTCCATTTTTGAGATAATCGAAACTCTCCTGCATTCGTCGCATTTCAGCGGAGAGAGCGAATTGTAAATAGACAATCTGAAATTCCAGATGCGATACTGAGATTAAAAAACTTGGCCACATTTACAATTCATGAGGAAATGCCCGGGTTTTAGGTCCATGAGGAAAAGAGTTCTCTAATTACTTCCGCTACAGCCGTTAAACTTCCTGAAACGGCACAATACGGAAGCGCGCGTAATATTCGAATGTAATATACACTTTAAAAGCGGATTGCAAGACTTACTTACTTAAAAGCATTTAAGAGGAGCATCTTGATCCCGATAAATTACTTCTATATTTCACCCTTGCCACTGCTGCATTGTAGAAAACTAAAGTTCCCACAGAAAACGATGCTATCGACTATCCAATTCCGGGACGCTCAGTATTCAAAATTATGACCCTATAATGGGATTCTTTTGCGTTTATTGTTTTGTTGGAATTTTGGGCGTTAAAGGCAATGGGATTGCGAGCAATTTTCCGGATAATCTAATTGCTCGTAAAAACATTATCACGCGTGATCGTATTTGTGGATATTGACGAAATAATTCAAATTATATGTCCGAAGTAAACGTCTATGCAATTATTCAGGAACATTACCAGAAATAAGAAAAAGATCGAAGCTGTACTCGTGAAAATTCGAAAAAAAGAAAACAGAATAAAAATTTGAGAATTGCTTGAAAAATATTAAAATATTCTGTCACGTTATATAATAGTAATTATGTGAAATTATATTAAATTTGAATGTATGTTTTTTGAATTATTGTTTTTTTAATTTAATTTAATAATTTTTTAAATCTCTATTACACACATATACACACGTATGTACGAAGATGTCAAAAGAAGCTCTAGAATCCGTGACTGTTATTATTATTTTATCTTGTTAGTGAAATAGATGCAGGTGTTCGTGCTTTCCTAAGACTTCCTTTCGCTTTTAAAAATGATTATCTTTACGCAATGTCGCGTTAGCAACAAATTTATGCTCCTAAAAGTTTATTCAATCTTAATTTTGTTTGTAAAAATTTAAATATTATACGCGCACCTCTTGATTCTCTTTATATAATATATATAATGCTTATTGTCTTGGTTTAGTATAGCGTTTATTTTAATTTATTGTATAATCAAAAATAATTTGAAACATGTACGCATGTTTTGGACACGAAATATATATGATACACGTTGAAAGTTTAAGTGCTTGCCGGTAATCTTCTCGAGCGGGTGCCAAATAATACCTCCCGTTCACTTTCGAGCGAATTGTCAAACGCCTCTCTATTGTCGAAGACAACCTGTTCGCTTCACGGCGCTGCTCACACTGTCGTACGCAACCCGCGGTGAAATTACCTACGCCGGCTTTTGTTTCGACACCACTTCGGGCGTGCACCGTTGCATCCCCTGTCATCCACCCTCAGCCAAGAGTTCCGTTGCCGCCGACGTCAACCACCACACCCGTCAGCCGCCCCCTTCCTTTTCCGCGCCGCTAAACGACCAAGTTAGCTCCGGCAAAGCTGCACAAAAAGCTCGGTCACAATCAACGCTCGGGAGAGGAAGGCGGGAGAGCAAGAGAAA